AGAATTGCTTTGTAAAATGTTTAACAAGTGCCTACAAGGAGAAAGTATCCCAAGAGATTGGAAAGTCTCGTACATAAACTCCATCTACAAAAAGGGAAACAGGAATGACTGCAGTAATTACCGAGGTATCAGCATTACGTCATCCACTGTCAAACTGTATGAAAGAGTTCTGAAAGCCAGAATAGAAAAAGAAGCCACAGAGATCCAAGAACAAAGTGGATTCCGACCAGGGAGATCTTGTGTCGACAATGTATTTACTCTCAAACATCTAACGGAAAAGAGATTAGCAAGAGGACTAGAACTTCATGCCACTTTTATAGATCTCCGTAAAGCGTTTGACTCCGTACACTGCAGAGACTATGGACAACATTGGAAAACGCAGGTATAAATGCAGTATATATAAATGCCGTGAAAAAGATATATCAAGATAACCAAGCTTATATTAAGGTTGGAAACCAAATTTCCAAGGGTTTCACCCAAACAAAGGGTGTCAAACAGGGCTCTTGCCTCTCCCCAACCCTATTTAAAATATATCTTGGTAATGCTTTAAAATATTGGATGAGAAAATACAGCCCAATGGGCATATGGGTAAATGACACTCCTATATACACAATCCTCTTCGCAGACGACCAGGTAGTTCTTGCCGAGGACCTACAAGATATGACGTACATGATAAACAAACTAATAGACGAATTCAAAAAATGGGGATTAGAGGTTAATACCGAAAAGACACAATACATGAATATAGGAGGCATCGGTCAAGACATGGAAAAGAAAGCGGATTAATTAAAAACGTTGATCAGTACGAATATCTCGGAGTTACACTAGCGAAGACGGGAGAGACGACAAAGATATAACAGAAAAATAGGAAAAGGAAAAAACATGATAAAAACACTACATCCGATCCTGTGGAATAAAACTTTAACTAAGAAAACAAAGAAAAATATATATCAGGCTATGATTCAGCCGGTGCTGACGTATGGGTCAGAAGTGTGGGTCTTTAACAAGAATATGTCACAAAAACTCCTCTCAACGGAAATGATGTACTGGAGAAAATGTTCCGGGTTAACTTTGTTTGACCACATAAGAAATGAAAACATAAGAGAGAGAATGAAAGTAAAGAACACAATAATGGGTACGATAGCCGAAAAACAATTAAAATGGTATGGACACCTGAGACGAATGGACGAAGAAAGGATACCACGAAAGGTTTGAAACTGGAGACCTACACAGAGAAATAAAAGGGGAAGACCAAGAAAGAAATGGATAACCAATATTCATATAGAAATGGAAAATAGAGGCCTTCAAGAAGGAGACTGGGCCGATAAGAAATTATGGCGATTGGGATGCGAGAAACGACAAAATTAAAGTTTCAAACACTCGCTATATATATATATATATATATATATATATATAATATAATAATATATATATATTATATATAAAGTATTATTAATATTATATTATATACAGTATGCTTCTATATATATATATATATATATATATATATATCATCAAAACAGATTAATAAACGCATTAGATGCTGCACAGCCGTGAAAACAAGCTGGCTTCAGAAGTGGATTCAGTACCATAGAGCGAAAGCATATGAAATACCGCTAGCATTAACCTTCATAGATTTCGAGAAGGCTTTCAATTCTATAGCTTCAGAAGCTTTGACCAATCAAGGCATTGACAAACCGTACATAGAAACTTTAGCAAATATATACAAACAAGCAAAAGTCAAGGTAAAAATTTATGAAAACACTCCAGAATTTCCCACTACCAGGCCGTCCGACAAAGAGACGCAATATTACCAAACTAGATTACTAGAGACTAGTATTACTAGAATTACTAGAGACGGTAGACGAGTATGTATTGCTGGGACAATTAATACATAAATCTGGCTCCTTACTTCCACAAATCAACAGAAGAATGTAACTAGCTTGGACATATTTTGGTAGAAATGCAATTATATTCAAATCAAAGATGCCAATCCACCTGAAGAAAAAAGCATTCGATCAGTGTATACTACCAGTCATGACATACGGCTGCGAAACTTGGACACTAAAGAAAGAGATAATATCGAAACTCAAAGTCACTCAAAGGTCATTGGAGCGATGCATGCTATGTATAACAAAGAGAGATCGAAAAGAATGGAATGGATTAGACAGAAAACCAAGGTTATTGATGTAATCCATAGAATTAAATGTTTAAAATGACAGTGGGCGGGACATTTAGCGAGAAGAACTGACAATAGGTGATCCACTAGAATTACACTGTGGTATCCAAGAATGTGTATTTTTCTTTGTAGACGTTTTCTTAGCCTTCTTTCGTTCATTTTTGGACATAGGCCTCTCACAACTCCTTCCATCGATTTCTATCCTGAGCCAACATACTTCCAATTTGTTCAGGCTACTTTTTTGTTGTCGTCCACCCATCTCATCTGCGCTCTTCCTCTTGGTGGCCTACCTTTGTAAGGTCTCCAATGTTGTATTGTGGCGTTCCAACATTCGTCTTTTTGTCTAGCAAAAAGCTTTACCTGCGAAGCTTCATTTGAGTTTGGCAATTTTTGTTGTGATATCCTCAACTTTTGTCTTTGATCATGCTCAGTCGTTCCTCTTTTTATCTGTAATGCAGGCGTAATATATCACTCTACTGCTTTGATTTGAATTATAGTAAAAAAAGAAAACTCTACTTCACTGTATTACTGCCGCGAATTCGTGTCAGTAAGAAATAAGAAGACGTATTAGTACGAAAGCTCAAAAGTTATTTCCTTAATCCTATTACCTCAAAACACAGTCAGAAACTCAGAAATAGCATACAATCGTATTGTAAACTGTGTGATACATCTGTTTTTGTGTTCAGGAATCCGATCATTTATTATTTTATGAACAAAAATCAAATTAAACGTATTTCTTGTACTTCTTTATTAGACAAATAATTCCATGACTTACGCAACTAACGAAAATTATTATTCATACATTTAATATTGATAAACCAGTGTTTATAAAGTCATTAGAGTGCCAAAAAACATATTGTTTTCAAAAAATTGTCCTTTTTAAAAATTTAAAATATTTATAAAATATTTTTGTAAAATATAATTGTAAAATATTATAGCAAATAGAAACCATTGACAGTTCGAACTTAATTAATCTTTACTTGATAATAATTAAAGGTGTATTTTCACCAAGCGCGCAAAATGTTTGCAAACGTTTGCAAATGATTGCAACTGTTGGCAAACAATTTTATTGGTTGGTGTAGATGTAGATAGATTTCAGAACGCTCCCAAACATTTGCAAACGTTTGCAATTGTTTGCCACGGTTCCGTCGGCTGTCGGTACTTCAAAGGGATTCGCTGTTTCATACGGGTTTGGTGGAGAGACTAGGTTTTATAGTCTGTCATAGTAGAAAGGAATAATTTGTTTTCAGTGAGTGATTAGTAATTAGTAGAGACTTATTTGTTTTTTACAAAAAAAAAATGGGATACAATCCCTGTAGTTTGTATCTCTTTTGCTTATCCCAGGACCGATTGGTGATATTAAGTATTGAAAGTCTTCTTATGACATGCGAGAGAAATTTTTAAATAAGCCACTTCCTTCTTATATTTTAATATCATTTAGAAGTTTTATTGAACTTCTCCTTTCAAAAAACTTTGACATCCAAAATCTACGATTTCTTCTTTTTTATATTAACTCAGACATGATTATAAAACTAGTCGCACATATAACTTTTCTTCTCGAAGCTATTTTGTACAAACAAGACGGAACGATGGCAAATGTTTGCAAACTTACCCAAATTCTCGAGTTCTTGTTTTTGACAAACTGTGCCAAATATATGTTGGTAAACGTTAGCAAATGTTAGCTAATGTTTGTGTGTAGATGTTTGTTAATGTTTTTTGGTGAAAACGAACCTAGAATTGCTAACGTATCCAAGACGATAAACTTATTGATACCAATAAGTGTTGCTAATAGCTTAAAGTTTGTAAACAATGCCACCTGGAAGATATTTTTTATACACAATATGCATTAATTGTTCCAATTTTTCTTCTGTCAAAAACGCAATTAAACAATCCAAAATACATAAGGCTAAAGCTGGCATGCGACTGGAATTAGGAGAGATAGAGATATGGGTCTAGAAATCACTAAGTCAAAGTTAAAAGAGGCTATAAAGAATGCTGTTAAAGTGGAAGAATGTCGAGTTAAGAAATTACTGACTAGTTTAAAGATGGAGTGCCCTATGTGTTGCAGAGAACTGGAAGCCTATACGATTGCTACCGAAATCTATAGATGTATATCCGAGATATATATATTAGAAAGAGAAGGAGGAGTGTGGGGAGATATCAAACCAAAACAAGATGGCGGGTGGATAATAGGAATGATGTAGCAATAACACTAGTCTCTGGTCAACTCTGATTCATTCCCTGAAGCGTGGGAGATGACTACGTTTTGTGTAGATATAATGAGAGAATTATGTTGTGTATGGATGTTACATATCACCAAATATAAATTTGGAAGAATATGAGTAGTTTTTGTATGATCTTAACGCGAGTGTCAGAACAAAAGTTATGAATATTCTGATTATAGGATATTTCAATACGAAGTGCCCCTTATGGGACCCTGAAAGAGAGGACGAATGAGTATGTAGTACAGAATTAGTGTTTGTCTAGGCTCTGTTAATTGAATATCTTTTACAATCTTTTCGGAAACACGTTTGTTCTTTTTGTGATATATTTCGTCTGCCATTCATTATTATTTCTTTATTATCTTTGCTTATACCAGTTCTTCTTCTTCTATTTGTGTAATTAGTGTGTTTCCTGTTATTTTGTTGTTATTTCTGAAACAAGTTCAAAAGTTAAAGAACATAAATGGTTAATGATTTTGTAAGAAAAGTAAGGGTAAATGCACAGAGGAAAAAACTACTTCAACAGGAATATTTTAGCAAATCGAGGCCATTAAAATTAAGAAGAATACAGACATTATTTGATAGATGTTATTAACATCAATCAAAGTGACATATTAAAACATGAAATCATAAACAAATAACACAAAAAATCAAATATTTCAATAAAATACCATTAGAACAAAAAATTTTAGTTACCAGTTGTGGCACATGTAACAAGAAACACATTTTCAAATAAATATTTGTATATTATACTATGAGCCCAAAACGACATAAACCTAGATCCCTCGATAGAGATTCTTACAGAGATCAAATTGGTGTACAAAACAGCAGGTCTAGATCAGAACCACAAAGAAGTAAGTCACTAATTAGGTGCACAAATTCTTTCCTATCTCTGGCACAACTTGTGTTATTTTTTACTATAAGATTCAATAGATTCTCTTCTACTTGGTATTGCTTACCATCCCATTCTTGGTCTTCAGCTTCCCCTAATACTTAACAGCCTCTTGGCACGGTCTTCGTAATACAATTCGTATTTATATAGAAAGCATGTCTAATGTTTTTTTTTTATTTTAATGACCAAAGACAAGCCAATCTACTTATTTTGACGGAATATGTGTAAATAAACTTCCTACCCTATTTTCCCAATTTATTTTTGAAATACATTTTTCTATTTATTTTTTTTTGTAGACGGCACAAGCAGTTACCCTCCTACAGAAACATACACCACAGCTGTGGAAACCATCTACAAATCGACGAATTATTACAAGAGGAATATGCGGTCTTCCAGATTTTTATTCCAAACTTCTAGGTCCCACAGCGGAAGAAACACTGTTAGTGGGATTCAAAACCTTTCTTAAAATGGGTTTAGCTTGCAATTCGGATAGTGAGCAAGGAGATTATACAATATCGACATCTGTAATAAGTGTAGGTATACTAATGATCGTTATTCCCCGGGATGAATGGTGGGAAATAATCTACCTAGAGACAATTTTTACAAAGGAATCATTGAAAATATAAACATTTTTATTATTACAATAATGCTTGGTTACAATATGAACTACTTGTGCCAATCCTTAACACTAAAAAGATCAAATATAGAATTATTATAACATCAACAGCTTTCTACAATTATATATTAGTTTAACGACAAAACTATAACGACTAAACAATATTCAAAAGTTCCATAAAACAGGTGAATTTAGCTTTTGACAACATCATCATCATCATCATGCAACCTCTTCTGTTCACTGCTAGACATAGGTCTCAGGTTAATGCTGTTTAATTCCACGGTATCGAAGGCTTTGTGAGAGTCTACGAAGATAAGTATCAGTGACCTGTTATACTCTATTGATTATTCTATTAGGGTTTTTACTGTTTATAGGTGATGGTTTGTTCCGAATTTTGAGCGGAAGCTAGCTTGTTCTCGGGGTTGGTATAAATCCAACTCTTTATCCAGTTTTTTCGTAATTATTCTAGTATAGTAGTAGTAATAAGTCTAGTTATAATATTTGTATTTGTACTGCCTAACAAATATATTTATTATTACAGGAAGGTTCTGGAATATTTACGGAGAACGAACAAGACTGTTTAGAAACAAATGACGAAAATGTTTCAAAACTGAATAATATCTCCATAGGAACTTCCATTTCTGACAGATACAAAAGGGAACTCGGTAATTATTTGTTATGATATTAATCAGTTTAATTAAACTTACAGTTAGATCATTTTTGTAAAAGTTGCATTTCAATTTTTAATTTAAACATAGTTTTGGTATTCAAAGACAGAAACTTTCTAATTGAATCGTTTTCAATAGATCTCAGAAGAAATCCGAATCATTTAGGAACATGAAAATACACAGTCAATCTATTTAGTTTTCTTTCATATATTTGATAGTCTTACTTAAAGCAATGTTTTACAGAATCAATGGATAATATTCCTCACAGCCGTTTTCCCTTGTGCTACTGCAGCTCTGATTTTTTTTCAACGTTTTCTCCATCACACCATTTTCTCAAAATATTCAACCAGCAAATATGCCTCCTTCTAATAGTATGTTTCCCCGTATTTTACACCATATTATAGTTTATATATGCAGAAATGTTAAAGGCAATGGGACCGAAAGGAGTTGAATTTTTAACCAAAATTATGAACATGGCTTGGAACCGATGTACAGTCCCCGAAGATTGGAGAATTGGCATAATACTACCAATCTTTAAGAAAGGAGACCCAAGTTCTTGTGAAAATTATAGAGAAATTAATCTACTTAGTATCGTTTCCAAAATATATGAAAGCATCCTAGAAAATAAATTAAGACATATCGTTGAACCACATCTGGATGAAGGACAAAGTGGGTTTAGGAAGGGACACAGTACGCAAGACCATATATTTACGTTGAAACAAATAATTGAGAAAGCTAGAATAAAGAACACAGAAATATATATGGCTTTTCTAGATATTGAGAAAGCATTTGACAGAGTGTCCGAGGAAGCAGTCTGGAAAAGTCTTCAAAATAGAAATATTGACCATCAACTAACAGGTGCTATCAAAATTCTGTATCAAAATAACAAGAGTTATGTACGTAAAGATAACTTGGAATCAGAGATGTTTGCAATAAACGAGGGTCTGAGACAAGGACGTGTTATGAGCCCCAAACTATTCATATTGATTATTGATGACATAATTAAGGAAACAAAAGCAAGTATACACAAAGTACATATCGGATATAGTAAACTACGACCGGTTGGTATAGCTGAGTGTGCAATTGCAGATGATCTCGTGTTATGCGCTTCCAACGAAAGGGACCTCCAGAAAAATATAGATAGCTGGAATAATGAGCTGGCAATCAGAAACATGAAGATTAATGTTAAGAAAACCAAGGTGATGCTAATAGCGAAAACTAACCGAAATATTAACATAGAAATTAACAAAGCGATTAAAAAGCAAGATACAAGCCATTGATATGAAATATCTAAGACGAGTCAAAGGAATAACACGACGAGACAAAATAAGAAATGAAGATGTTAGAGAAGAACTGGGCACATAATCTGTACTACATGCTATTGAAACACAACAAATAAAATGGTTTGGTCATTTGTGCCAAATGAGCGACAACCAATGAGCAAGTCTGGAAGGCTAAAGTGAAAAGGTTTAAAACCAGAGGCAGAGCACGGAAAACCTGGGATGACGAAGTAGGGCAGATTTTGAAAAGTAGGGGATTGGAATGGTCAGAAGCTCAAAATAAAGCAAAAAAACAAGAAATAATGGACAAAATTCGTGCACAGAATAGAATAAATTTAATATAATAAATATTTTCATTGGATTTGAGATGTAATGTGTATTGTATTTACCTCACACCTTAGGGTAGAGAGGTGTTCGATTATATATATATAATAGATGTATATTATAGTTTATAGCAATATATAGTTAGCTCCTTTTATTTTTGGGTCCTCACATGACCCAGAAACAGCAACTTTCTTGTATTGATAATAATAATATTCACCACTTCATTTTTTATTCTTAGATTACGATGATACAAAGCCATCCAAAAAATCTAATGACGTTGATAGCGATCAAGAAAAAACTATTATTTCAGACCCAAAAAAATATATAAAAGAAGAATCAGACCCTACAAGTGTTGGACTTAAAGAAATTCCACAGACATTAGAAAAAAATTCGGATATCAAATCTGATAGTAAAAATGGATCTCAACTTTCAAAAACTGTCGATCAAACAAATGATAAATTAGACAAGAATAAAAATATAATAAATGGAGCCTTTTACGATGATGATGAATCTAAGAAACGTGTAGAAGATTCGAAAAAACAACTGGATTCCAATAAAATTGAATCGAAAATGGAAGATAGTAATGAGACAGAAAATAAAAAAACTAGCGAGAAAATCGCATCGACTGACAGTGTACCTAGGATATCTTTAAATTCTAAAGAACCATCGCCAGAAGTTAGTATAACTATATTAATAGAAAAACCGGAATCAAAAACAAAGAAATCATCAATAATTACCAAAGAAGAAATAAAAGATATAAAGTTGGAGGAGATAAAAGAAGAAGGTGACGAGAATGTTCAGGAAGATAAGGGTATTAAACAAGAACGTGTCGATGAAACAAGTGATAGAAAATCAAAATCATCTTCCATAGACTCATCTGTATATAAACGAACTGCGTCCAAAGAAAAAGAAGAAACTCAGTCAACGGAATCAGCTACTTCTAATTTGAGTCAAAACAAACCAAAATCAGTTTCAGTAGAGCTTGAAACAAGTGAGAGAAAATCAAAATCATCTTCCATAGGATCATCTGAATACAAACCAACTGTGCCCAAAGAGAAAGAAGAAACTCAGTCAATACAATCAGCTATTTCTAATTTGAGCCATAAAAAATCAAAATCAGTTTCAATAGAGCTATATGAAGTCCAACCAACAACGCCCGAAGAGCTAAGCATAGCTCAGTCAAAGAAACAAGTTACTGAAGAATCTGCCGCATCAATTACTCCTTCAGTTCAAGTAAATAGTAAAGAGGACAGCAAAGCCGTGGCAAAAGATAAGGTCAAACAAGAACTGAGTGAACGCGTGTCTAAACAACGCAATGAAATTCCCAGTAAAGTATCAACGAAATATATTTTGGAACCATCACCAGGTAAAATAAGTAGCCAATCAAACAACATTTCAAAGTTAGCTCTAAGTGAAGCACTAAAGAAGTTGTATAGTTGCCATTCAAAACAACAAGGTTATCCAGAATGTCGTCCACAGAATGTAAAACAATCTTTGAAAATTCAACACAGTAAGTAACTTTTATAAATAATAAAAAGTGTCATGTCATAAATATATTTATAGTAATTTAGAACAGTTGGAAGTCCTTATTTGTTTATTTACTATGACGTAACGTATTTCTATTATTTAGTACAATCGAGAAAATTTCCCCCATCTCAAAGTTCACTAAAAGTTGAGGTTAGTAAAAAGTCGACAGTTTGTTCGCAAAAGTCAATCAAAAGTCAAAATGTTTCGAAGATGTCAAATGAGTTGACTCCCAATATTCCAGAAGAAGATGAGGAACAGGACGAAATATCTGAAACCTATGATCGATCGGACGAATCCGACGAATCATTGGAAGATGTACAGGGTAAATCATCAACACTAGCACATAGACGAGCAGCGATTTCAAAAGAACCACTCACAAATTCGTCAAGGTCAGTATGCAAACTGTTATCAATTTAATAATATCTACTATATTTTTTATTATTCAGGTGAATCATATTGTTCAAAGTCATAGCTTATTGTCATCTCTCAGCATTTAATCTAAGTCTGACCAGAGGCTGTAAAATATTTACAAAAAATGTCTAAAATACGCATGCAATATGTATTTTAGCCTTCATCGGACTAGCCGGGGTCTATTTTGACCCCAGATCACAATTTTTGGCTGTTACTTTATAGATCTTAATTTTTAATCGGCAGTCTTCCATATATCTGTAGTTTATATATTTTATTGATAAAAAATTATGCCTACAAGAACATTTAACGGTTAGATTAAATTTAAACTTCAATTTTATAGGCTGGAGTCTTCTAATACCCCGGCCAGCCTTTTATGTCATATAAAATGAATTCTAATAAAGTTGTAATAATGTGGGAATCCCATAGATTTTTTGGATTAGTACCTACTATGACTGTACTATCGTTTTAAGGGTTTTACATGTTTAAATGAAGAATTCCCAGAGCTGCGATAAAATTTAACGAAATAATAAAATTATATCGAGTTCCAGTGTCAGTTGGTTTCTTGTCGTATTTGTAAATAGTGCATAAAATTCTGAACATGAGTTACGTTTCATTTATATCTAGACGAAAGAAACTAAATGAAGATGAACTTTTACGTTTTACTTGAAAGTGATGATTCAGAGCTTGATATCAATGACGATAAAGCAAGTGATTTAGAAGATGAATACAATGTAACAGAGGTAGAAGAATAAAATGACCTTATTATTTATCAAAACGTAAAGCAAAATAATCCAGCAGTTACTGATTCCGAAGGCTCACCTGTATATATATCTAAAGATGGAACTGAGTAGTCAAGATTACCAAAAAACACAAAAGTGAAACGCGCTAAGGCTAATATTCGTAGACATGCTCTAGGACTTACAAATTACAGTGATGGTATATCAAGTATCAAAAACGCTTTCCTTCTGTTTTTTCAGACGAAATTCTAACATAATTGTCATGGAAACTAATTGGAAGGCTCAAGCGTACTACAACAAATGGAATAGTGAAAAATCAAATAAAACTAAACTAAACTCGGAAGAAGACGGAATTTCGCTATGTCTGTCACGTAAAAGGAGTCTTAGAAGGAGAAGAAATCGAACATCAGCTGTCATCTCCTCGTGATAGTCTTTTGTGCTTTTGGACTGAAATTCCAACAAACCATGCTTACAAATCCTTTTTCACTGCCAATGTGAGAAATTATTAATGTACTGCCTTTACCAGAAGGTGGGGAAATACCAGTAGACCAACCTTCCATAAAGGCTTACCTGGAGCTTAATATATTTGTATCTGACCAAATTTTTTTAGAGTATGACCTGAGTTTACCCACGTTTCATCCTGGTAGAAGATTGGCCTTCCTTCAGCCTGGAATTTTCGTATGGATCTTAGATAATTTCTTCTCAAACATATTATCTCCTCCCGGTCAATCAAAAGTGATTTTCGGTCTGATTTCTCCCACCGGAAATTTAATTCTTTTAAAACTTACCACAATTTAGTTCGTCCGATATGAGGCAAATCCGGGTCGTCTCTAACTTCTTGTAAAATTTTGTTTAGGTTTGGTAATTCTTTTTTGGAAAAAAATCCATGAATTTTCCTTCGAATATCATTTTTTTCAAATTCATCAATTTCAGTAGGCTTTTTCCCTCTCTTTAAATGTTCGTTTGTGTTTAGGTTAGCTATAACGTGTTTTTTTTTCTTTCTGATAGGAACCTATATATAGTTGACTCCCCTACGCCAGTCTTGTTGGCACAACTTTCGATCTATGACTAGTGATCAGTGTTTGTGGGATTCTGAGAAACCCGTGAACCATCGAAACATCGTGAACATTCAGGACAATAGTCTTCTCTCTTGGTGAATAGACAGACTTACTGACTGTACGTAACAGTACCGGTGTAAAACTTAATGATGTTGATGATGAATCCATCACAAACAATCCAACAAAACGAGCACGAGCGAAAGGTACGTATATGTTTGTAGATATATGCAATAAAAAATCACTACGAACTGCATATAATTCGCAAAAGAAATATTCGAGACGCTAATTACTGCCGTAGACGTGGAAAAACCGACGAGCCCTAAATTACATGCGATCAAAAAAGTACTATACAAAAAAATTGCTTTCGTTCGTAATAACTTCACCCTTTCAAATTAAGTTTCAAATATAAACTGAACAGACGAGGCACATGGCCAAAGCCGGAATCTTTATACCCAATATATTATTAAAAATCTGGGGAATTCCATCCTAATTATCTTGCAACGAATAGTACCTTCGGATATGAATTCCAGGTTTTCTAGTTAAATCATTAAACGCAAAGATTAGTATGGAAATATCCAAAGAGATAAGGTATTCTTATTTACAAAATTTTTATTGGTTAAATTTTTATTTTTATTAATATAATAAAATAACCAACAATAGCCGTGACAGTTTTAATTGTTTTTTGCCAAATATATTAGTATTAAAACGTTATTAATATTGATAAACATTTTGGAAATGAAAATAAATGAATAAACACCTCAGGAACGCTTATGATGATATAAATTTTACACCGTTTTATGACTTTGAGGCTCATTTCGTGCCCTGAACAATTTATGAACGGATTATAGTTGAGTTCTCAGTAGTTTAGTCATCGTCTTTGTCTTCTCCATTTTATTACACCTTGCACTCAACATTGTGCTCTTATCTCTTATAGTTTTGTCTGCTATGCTCTTCAAGAGTTGAATTTGGCTAATTTGATCAAAACCTTTATAATATTTCAACTTTTTGCCAGATTAATCGATAAAACATTCGAGGCAATCATTAGAAGGTATTAAAATTATTCTATTCATGGATATATTATTTGATTTTTTATAGGTCCGAAGCAGAAAGATCTTTAGAAGGAAATTTAGGTTCAAGAGAAAAAAAGATGTATTCAAGCACGCAATCAACAAGTGAAAATCCGGAAGCATCATTAACGGATTCTAAGAAAAGTAGTGTTAGTTGGAGCAGTCAGCAATCACAAAGTTTTGTTTCCGGCAAAATATCACCTAAAGGGGGGACGTCATTTGAATCTAAAAGATCAGACAACTCAGATATTAAAGAACCATCCAGGTATTCCTCAAAGAGATCACATGATGACAGGTCAAGTGTTGTATCACAAGAATCTAAAACTTCGGGTTATTCAAACTCTAAAAGAGTATTTAGTGACGGTGTGAGTATAATTTTGAGTATCGTAAATTGTAGTATAAGGTCGTAAGATGATGTAGTACTCTATGTCATGAGTCATGACATATTTTATTTGGAATATAAAATCGCAAATACTTAATTTTTGAGCACTAGCAGCGAGATGCTCTTTAGTATATCTAACTACATGTATTGGTTTATATTCCCTTCAATAAAATGCATGTTACCTATTCCTGCAGAGGACATACACCCCCACATCATCACTCCACCCCCACCGTGCTTTACTGTAGCTTTCATATTTTAATTTTAGTTCTTCATTTGGTTTTCTCTACACCGATATTTTTCCATCGTACCCAAACAAGTTAATTTTGGTTTCATCAGCAAATATTACGGGATTCCAAAATTTTAATTATTTATTAATATAACATATAACTTATAGTAATAAAAGGTTTATTTCTAGCAGTTCGATCATGTATATAGGTTATTCTTTGCTGCACTTTTGTACGATTATTTGCTAGTTCTCTGACAATCCATCTTTCCTCACGTTCGGTAAAAATCTTATTTGGAGCTAACCTTACTTTATTTTTAACTTTTTTACTTTTAAATTTCAAATTAAACATGAAAATAACTGCAATATGAGCAGAGTATGGCGCGGTTGGGCCAGTCGGTCAAAGTCCAATTCTGACGTCATTGGTGCCAATGTCGTGACGTCACAAGATGTCGTGACTGACAGCTGTCATATGTCAACTGTCATTTGCCAACTGCCATGTCAACTGTCATCGTTCAAACGTAAAGATAGCGTCAAATGCCGTCATCTTTGTTTTTTGTGTTAACGTATTCGTTGTCCCTCCTTTTTCGATACCAAAGAAGAATTGACGCTATCTTCACGTTTGAACGATAACAGTTAACAAATGACAGTTGACCGCTGCCAGCCGCCATCATGTGATGTCACGAAATTGCCGCCAGTGACGTCAGAATTGGACTTTGACCTTTGGCCCAACCGCTCCATACTCTGCTAATATGAATTTAATGCAACGCCTACTTCGCAAATTTCAAATTGATAAATTGTGTAATGCTTCATCTTATCTGCATCATTTTAGCTGTGACATCAAAAGCATACATAAAATAATTTAATATTTATTGTTATTTAAGTACAGTATATTTGAAACTCAAATATTACTCAAAATTGTGAATACTGAATCTATTGATCTTCTTTTGGATCTATTCAATTTCATATATAAAACAGGTATAATACCTAAAGAATAGCTCCAATTAACATTCATACTGCTTCCCAAAAAAGCCAATGCAAAGGAGTGCAATGAACATCGCACCATAGCCTTAATGAGTTATGTCTTGAAATTGATTTTAAAAGTAATTCACAATAGAATATATAAGAGATTAGATGAAGGCATAAGTAATACACAAATGGGATTTAGGAAAGGACTAGGAACAGCAAAAGTGAAAGTTAAAAATGAACTGACCGAGGATATCCAGATTCACCGTGGGGTCCGCCAAGGGTGTATTTTATCACCCTTGTTATTCAATTTATACAGTGAAGTCATCTCAGAATTATAATAACATAAGATATGCTGACGATACCGTCCTTTTGGCAGGAACTCTAGAAGAACTGCTACATCTTGCTGAACAACTAAATATATATTGCAACGATTATGGACTAAAAATAAATTTGAAGAAAACCAAGTTCATGATATTTACAAAAGCACAAAACATCAAAGTTAATCTAGTACCAGATAATACAGAAATTGAACAAATATCTTCGTACAAATACCTTGGAGCATGGATCACAGAAGATACTGATCAGACAAAAGAAATAAGATGCCGCATTGAAATTACACGGACAACTTTTAATAGAATGAGAAAACTTTTTTATAATCGCGATATTAATATATCGCTCCGAATAAGAATGCTTCGATGTTATATTTTCTCTACCCTCTTGTATGGGGTTGAAGCATGGACACTTAAAAAATCCAACACTAAAAACCTAAAAGCATTCAAAATGTGGTGTTACCGACGTGTTTTGAAAATATCATAATTCAGGGTAAAATCAAAGGCAGAAGAAGCGTAGAAAGACGTAAAAGCTCGTGGCTATGCAATCTCAGTGAATGGTTTGAATGCAGTTCAATTGAACTATTCAGGCGCGTAACCAACAAAATTATAATTGCCAGAATGATTTCCAAACTCTGATAGAAGTGGAACTTGAAGAAGAAGAATATTTGAAACCCAAAAAACAGCTAATGCCATTTTTGAATACTTATAGTAATTTAATTTCAGTATGTAATTATATTAATGTTCAATTTTAGCTTAAACTTAAAGTCTCACAAGAGACCATAGAAGAGGTCTCAGAAAAATCAGAAAGGTCTGACGACAAGTCTGAATCTGAGATAATTTACAAAACTGAGGGAAGCTTTGAAACTGGGAAAAAAGATCAATCTAAATCATTTATTTCGGTAAGTGTTTACATTATTTATTTTGACAAGTAACTATACTATGTCAACTGTTCCGTTTTTCTCCATATATCATCGATACTGGTTTCTTAGTAACCAGATATCATAGGATATTGCTATTTTCACTGTTATTGTTTTATTTCTTTGTTTTCCGTTCCAATTGAGTCAAAATTTACTTCCATATAGTTACAGTCTTGGCAGTGTGGTATTGTTCTTACCATTATTTAATATTAGATCACTAAGTGTTGTAGCAAAACAAAGATATTTGGTCTTTTGCAACGATGTAATATACTCAGGATGGAACCTATATGAATAAATTTACATGTAGCTGATAAACGACGGAGCTAACGTCACATTACTAGCTACAATGTGCGCCGTGAATTTGACAGATGATTAATGTGAATATACAATCCCTTGTAGTTGATCCCTTTTAATGTTGAACATGTAACAATAAGTGTTGAATCAATAATTTAATGTATTGTTTTTAGTAAATCAATAAATTCCTTAAATTTTTATATTTTGTAGTCCATTGCTTTGTTCTTTTTCTTATGGGTCTCTAATTTCCTCGTTTAGAAAATCTTTAGGGATTCGTCCATAAAATCTACTGACTATAATTGTTACCGTGCGAAAGAAGCCGTGCATAAAAACTTTTTTAATTTGCGTTTCATTTTTCAAAATTTTCAGGTCAAGATTTCCGAAGAAACGGAATCGGAAGCATCCGAAGAAACGGATAAGTCAGACAAATCTATCCAATATGAAACGCCAGAAGATCTCCAAAAATCTGAGGCTCCTGGATATAAAGGAAAAAAATCAAAAAAGAGTCCTAGTGGTGTTAGACAATCCAAAAAGTTTAAATCAGGGAAACGTGAAATTTTGGTGGAAGTTACAGAAGAATCTGAAGGGTCTATTATTTCGGTAAAATCTGATAAAAGTAAACGATCTAAAGGTAAATTAGGTAGGTAGTAATAGCATAAATAGTTCAGAAAGACTTAAATTGTTAAAGAATTTAATGGTAAGAACTAAATCAATTATTTTCTAGATAAAAAGCCATCACCTGTGCTTCAACTTACAAAACCGGTCCGTGATAAGAGCTCTTCGACAAGTTCCATTCTAAAAACATCCTCTAGCTCAGATAAATCAGATACTTACACATGTACCTGCAATCTACAAACCGGCATCAACGTGTGTCAATGTGGAGACGCCAGAATCCAGACTGACTGTAATTGTTCTGGTCAGATTAAAAGTACGGAACTGGAAAAAGTAATTCCAATACAGTGTCCATATATAAAACCTTGTATTAAAACCGCGGAACAAGCAGCAAAGGGAGTATGTTCCCGTTGCAAAAATTCCTTACCTGAAGAGTAAGTTCAACGATCCGCTGACAGCCTTTATTTAGGTGCTATACAGTTTTTCTTTATGTTTTAGAAGCACTATTGAAGAACATAAGCAGAAGAAACTTTGTTTTGATTGTTATACTAGCACTTCATCTAGCACAGCCTCGGATTCAAATTCTAAATGGAGGAAAAACATGAGTAGAGCTTATACCAAGGGACAAGTGAGATATGCGATCACGAAAATTACTGAATACGGACAATTTACCACCTTCGAAATAATGAAAAGCACGAGAAAAGTTCCAAAGTTTATGCCCACTGCCTTGGAAGGAGTCTTTGTACTCAAACGTAAAGTGTGATCTTAATAAGTGTAAAAATTATTACCATATTCATGATTTTATTAAATTTTTAAATTCAAACTTGCATTATTTATCATTTACTAAATAAGTAAGGAACTAAGTAGGCAGTTAATGAAGCACAACCACCCCTACACGAAATAACGTATAAAGGATATGAAGAATACATACCTACTTATTATAATCAAAACTTTGACAAAGCAAAATTATATTAAAAGTAACAGTCATTAAATTAGATAAAATACAGAAACTAAAAGAACTACTTAGAAACAAAGAACAAAATAAAGTAGTAGGGGGTATTAACTATAGATTTATCCAAAATATAAAAAGGATTAATGTAGGTACGCCTCTGGTATTTGTTGCTATAGGAAATGATTAAGTTTTTGTATATCTAAAGATGTTTTTATATCTTTTTCATTTACAAAAATGTTAGTATTAGTTGAAAAAAATTAATGTAGATTTACAAATTTAAAAATCCTTGTTAGTGGCCTCTTGCCATTTAACAAAAATATCCAATGAACCGAACAAAAAGAAGAACTTATTAAATCTAACCTTCAAATTTTACAGAGTAAACAAAATATTTAAAAGTTGAAAAAGGCCGGTATCCTGGTATTCTCATTTACTTTAATGTTTGCTGTTATTACACTGTATGAAAGTTAATCATATACATATAGTCAAAAATTTTGTAACCTCTATAATGAAACGAACAAAAACTACAAGAGCTAGTAAAATCCTTAAACAAGAACAAGAGGAACATCAATCTGAAATTAAATCCAACCCCAAAGTAGATTTATCGGCATTTAAAAAGGTGCCTAAATCTAAATTAACGAATAATATAAAAGTAGAAGGAGTTGGAGAAAAGTCAAAACAAAGTCAAATACAATGTAAAGAGGAAGAAATTTTTAAACAAGACCCCGAAAAAGAACTGAGTCCTACTAAAAGACAGCACGTTAAAATAGAGTACGATGAAGTAGGCAATGGATCTGATGTAAAAAAGAACAAGAGGATGCCAGAGAACTGGGAGCAAGTTCTGGCAAATTTGAAAGAAATGAGGAAACATTCAGATGCTCCTGTAGACTCCATGGGATGTGATAAGTGTCATGACGAAAATGCACCACCAAATGTAATATACTTAGATATTATTAATCATATAAAAGAACATATATTTTAAAATAGCCACCTAATTATTAGTATTTTTAGTTAAATGTAGTTTGGAAGCTGTTTGTAGCTGATGTCAAATAAGTCAAAATAATTAAGTATGTAGCAATTTAATACCAAATATCTAATTTCAGGCTCTACTGTTCTTAATTGTGGAAATAGGTATTTCGTTTGCTCTATTTTGATTCTTATTTTAGCTTTAATGGCAGTAAGACAAAAATGTGATAGTCAGTCATCTTTGTATATGTTAAAAATGGAAATCAAAGTCTGATATTTAATTTTTTTAGGTCATGAGGTATCAACAACTCCTTGCACTGATGTTAAGTAGTCAAACTAAAGATCAAATCACCCATTCCGCTATGAAGAAACTAATAGATCATGGTTGTACTGTTGAAAACATATTAGGTACAGCAGATGAGAAACTGGGAGAACTAATATATCCAGTCAGTTTCTGGAGAGTAAGTATAATTTAAAAAGATTATGAAATTTTATTGAAAGTCGTTTGATTACAAATAATATTTCCAATTAATTTTTAATTTTAGAATAAAGTGAAATATATCAAAAAAACTAGTGATATACTACAAAAGGAATATGATTGTGACATTCCAGATACAGTGGAAAAATTGTGCAAGTTACCAGGGGTAGGACCCAAAATGGCACATATTTGTATGGAAACAGCTTGGGATAAAGTGACAGGAATAGGTAAATTCTTCAGTAATTTTATTATGAGATGTGTACAGTTTTCTTTATTAATATGAGACACTTATGACATCTGAAATACAAACAAATTGCTTAAAAAAAAATACTTGATTTTTGTACCAATCCCAAAAAAGCCTAGTGGCCAAAATTTAATAAATAAATAGTCTGTTTCAAAGTGATTTAAGATATCAAACACTCTTTATATAATATGTGATAAACAGTTTAACTTTTACCATCGACCACGAACTCAAAAAGCACATTGTATTGACAATTATAATACAAAAATATATAGATAAAATAAGTCATTTATATGTCTATATGCCAGTTCCATAGAAAAATAGGTCAAAATTTAGAGTTTTGAAAATATTGCCATCAAGGATTTCATAAGTGTATTAAAAATCAGATTTAAATCTTATTTTGGTTATTATACATGACAGATTTATGCATTAAAAACACATATTTGTTTAAACTAAACAGCTGGTTTGTTGTTGTTTGGAATTCAACTCTGGGGATGTGCGAGCAAGTCAAATACAAGCATAATTCAAAGAAGCCAATCGAAAATACTGCAATAACTGCTGCACCCTGATATGTGTTAAACCTTACTGAAATGATGAACCAAAACCTAGCATATAAGGTTTTAATCAACATAAATTGTACACGTAATGTTAACAAAAACAATATAAATTAATATGGCAGAGACAGTGACTTCTGTCCAACACTGACAGCATAAAGTTGCCTACAATATTCAAAGTATACAGCCAAAACAATACAAAGGAGGTTAATATCACATCACTAACGCTTCATCAAGACCATTGATTATAAACCACTACCTAGATAGCTCACTCTAAGGTAAAAACAAATTCAGTGTTAAACTCCGCCCACTTACACCTCTTTGCCCCTCACGCCTAAGTATTACCTGACTGTATGGTGGCGACATTCATTGAAATATTTGCCAAGAAAAAAAAATATATTTAAGTTCCATGCTCCGCCAATTATCTAGTGTAATACAGGACGATATAAGGATGGCACTCAGCATTTTCGCAAATAATTTTAATGTGCTTGTAATCTATATTATGAAATTCCGATTTTACTTCAGAAAAAACGCTAAAAATTGATTAATAAAAACAGTAAAGGTTTTCTAAAAATTATTTATTTATCAACACAATACAAAAAAATAACAAAATATAAAATACATAATAAAATTAGCAGTGATAAATTACATCTCATGTAAATTAGTTTTTTGTAACTTTTCAAACAAATTAATTTCCAGAATTGATGCAAACTAAAATATTTCAAGCTAAATATACAGAATTTATTTCCATATTTAGTCCATTCACTCACGGTAAAATATTGCAAAACCTCATAATTTTAAAGAATCGCTTGGGTTGACATGAAATTTTGCTTAAAGATGTCAAAGAAAAATAGATTATGCTTTTGCCCTATGGATTAGTATCACCCCTTATCGGGAGTGGAAAAATATATGTTCAAGATAAGTTTGGAAGTGCCTAAAATCAGTAATTCTAAGCAACTTTGGTTCTATAGAGTTTTTTTACTAAGTCAATACTTTTCGAGTTATTGAAAAATAGGTTCTTATTCGTCAAATTCCATGTTGAATATTTCAACGTGAAATAATAAAAAAGTAAAGCACTTTTCGACGAAAACTCATTACAACTTTTTTTAAAGTGTTTAAAAAAGGTTTATTTTTGTTAAGTTTCTTGCATAAAGAGTAAGCAAGTTATGGCCAAAATATTCAGAAAAGCAAAACCTACATTTTTTTACTCTTTGTGATTTTTGGTGTCACTAATAATTTGAACTTGTTTTGAAAAAAAGCATTTTTTTCAAAATTAAAAAAAAATTGTTAAAAAATAAGCCCTTTGAACAAATCAAACTTACAGATCATTATAATAATACAATAAAAACAATGACCAAGGTATTTATTAGAGAAATCAGGACACGCATTGAAATTGCAAGACAAGCATTTATAACAATGAAAAAAATGTTTGTTAATCGAGATCTTATCTAGTTTTGATGGGAAATGAGCCAAAATTTTACTAAAAAAATCATTTTATTAACGTTTCGGCGCCCAAATGGGGTGTCGTTGTCGTTGTTCCCGCAGTTTTTTTGCCAAATTTTTGTGCGCTCTACGTCTTTCAGGGGAAATTTAAAGAAAGATATATTATTATTTGTTCCATCGTTTCTTTCAAAACATTCCGCGTAAACACATTTATGCGTTACACAGGCCATTTTATCTAAAATGTGAGTCCTTTTTTTTTATAAAATTTAGCTATAACTTGTCACAACATTAGACACAGATAATACACTTATAGGGTAAGTTCGGCCCTGACACCACTCCTATCTCTTCGCAAGTCAGAGAGAGAATGAGAATCTCGATACGGTTTTCGAGTAACGCCATCTAGTTTTTGATACGTCTTTCGGTTACCACGAGGTGAGCTATCTAGGTAGTGGTTTATAATCAATGTCAAGACCTAATAATTCTGTTCATATAGCATGTGATCATTTAATATAGCATGAAGCACAATAAAGGACTCTAATCACACAGTAACCCCTTACTTTAACCTCTAATAGAACATAATGCCAATAGGAGACTTAAAAGGAATTGGCCAGCTCACCTGAGAAACAGTTAAAGTGGTCTTGTCACTGGAGAAGACCTCACCAAGCCAATAGGAGCTCTTTGCCTTGCAGCCAGCAAATTAGCTTATAGAACATTATTTGTCTTTTGACTGCTAAAGGCTGTAACTAAATAAAAAAAAGATTTTATCACAAGGAAATATCCAATTATTTGAATGAAAAATAAAGTACTTTTAATTTGTTTCTCTATTTTATAGATAAAACAAGACTTGACGAACACTTCCTTATACTCGAAATTTTGGAGTTGTTTCTCTATGGAACTGAGGTATTGATGTGTTAATTTTCAATTTTGAGAAGGGCGTTCAATGTTAAGAAGCTGTAAATAAACCTACAAGAGTGCCAATTATATATTTTGTCACTTATGTAATGAGCTTTTCAAGTCAGGTTTCCAGAGATAATTAGAATAAATAAGAAAAAAAAGCATGTAGGATAACAAAGATAGATTTTCTTCCATTTGCTGTTCTTTTTAAAGTTTCTTATCTCTCATCCAATCAAAACTTGTAGACAGTTATTTATAGACAAAGAAAACTTAGAAAACAAGTTTTTAGTGCACTATTTTGAAAATTACTTTGCTTTTAGGTGTTGACACCCATGTTCACAGGATATCAAATCGTCTAAGATGGGTGAATACCAATAACCCAGAAGATACAAGGAAGGCTTTAGAAGATTGGCTACCACAGGAATTATGGAGCGAGGTGAATCTTCTACTTGTTGGTTTTGGGCAGCAGATTTGCGGGGCTGTCAAGCCTCAGTGTTCAGCTTGTTTAAATAAGGAACTTTGTCCTTTTGGTAAGAAATATCTAAAAGGAGAAGCAAAAACTAAGAAGACGAAAAGTAAAAAATAAATAGTTTAAGATGAACGATATTTTCTTTATCTCTATATTATGTTTGATCAATCTGTTTTTATATTTTTTTAAATAAACAATGTTTCTATTAGTATCTTCTTTAATTAAACGCTTCCTACTTTTAAATTTAAGTCAAACAAAGGGTGTAGGGTTTTCATTTTTCTAATAATAACGGACTTTAAAGTTTTGATGGTGCTGTACATATACTGTCATAGATTGTTTTTTACATCTAACTATGCCTTATTTTGAGTTCTCATATCATTAATTTCGTCTGTGTTTAGACTAAATTAAAAAGTATGCATAAATAATTGTGTATTATAAACACAGACTCAGTTAGTTCAAGTTGTCTTGCTAAAGAGTAATAAATAATACTCAGACGCCAATATTTGATTCAATTGGAACCTCGATTATCCGTCAGGGCACCAGACCAAGGGTAGGACGGATATAACAGAACATTAAAAAAAAAAAAAAAATTCATATATATATAATATATATATATATATATATATATATATATATATATATATATATATATAATCAATAACCCTTCTACCCTGTTGTAGGGTAGATCCTTTCGGTAATAAATTCCCAATCTTTAATGCTACTAGTCAAGTTTCTATTGATGAGACAACCAACTCCTTCACATGCTCTTTCTGACGGGGGTGCTCCACTGAGTATTAAAAAATGGCCATTTTCCAGAAACTGTGTGCTCTTACCTTTTCTTTTGGTCTCTGTGATTCCTAGTATGTATATTTTAGCCTTATTAAATTCTTCTACAAGTTCAGCCTCCTTGACGTTGAGACCTCTTACGTTCCATGTTCGTTTGTCCATCCTTCAGGTATTCTGGTTTTTTGAGTTGCCGTTGTTTTCACACTTTTAATCTCATTGATTGCAGTTGCTTTGTGTATTTGTAAACGTTTCTCATCTTCCTTCTTTTTTAGGTATCCATACTGGTCTTATTATAGTGCTTTACTACTACTCAGGTCCTTGTTCATTGCCTGTTTCGTCATCGTTTATTCCATTGCCGTTTCTTATTAGTTTTTTGGTTTGTCTATTTATAAAAATTCATAGTAGATATAACTCTAAAATTTTATTTGTATGTTTTATTTGACAATATACTACAAAAATTTTCTCGTTCTCGTAATCCATAACAGTCTCGAATCCACAGGAAAGTGCTTTCTCCGCTAAAGGTCCAAAATTGAAGAAAGTATTATAGATGTAGTTTAAGTGTATATATTTTAGATCTTCTGGTTAGTATTTTATTGGAAGTTTACTATAATACTTCTTATGACTGGAATCGTTTTGTAGCCATCTCATTATTTTGGTACCTATCTGTAACTCGTTGAATACAAGGTATTTTAATTTTTCGCCTGTAGTATCACATTTCAAATGCATTTAACTTCTTTATATGATCTATTTTTAGTGTCTAGTTTTCCATTCCATAAAAAGTATAGAATATATAACTCCTTAGAGCTCTTATCGGCAGTTCCATAGCTAAATCTTTTTAGTGATTAGTGAATTCTCAGGTTTTCAAATATTTGTCTCGTAACTTCAACTCGTATCGCTATATAGATATCTTTTCTACTTGTTTTTCTTTGATTACTATGCCGTCTAGTGTATATCGCTAACACTATTGACGACAACCCCTGGAAATGTCTACTAATCCTTCCAAAACCAAACCAAACCAAATCAGAGGACAAACAACGGCTTTTCTCAGAACGAACACTGACAGTAGTCAGCATAAATTAATATTGAGGGCATCAACACAGCCAAAGAAGAAATTGTAGGAAACCCACTGAGACCTAACTGAAACGAGACCGAAAATCTCAGATATAAAACTGATTGCGGAGATACCACACAACAAGGATTGGAGTACCATAAACAGTATAGGGATTATAACCATCTAGATTGGAAAATGCACTATAACCTCGCGTATAGGTATATAAATCCCAAAGCCCTTTATCTTTTCATCCCCACATAATTTGCAATAAAAACCCAATCAACTGATACTGTAACAGTTGCAGTTTACTTTTGGGTTATACAGTACAAGAATGGGCTGAAACTAATCGTGTCACATTAATGTAGATCCTAAATTTCCGCCAGTCTTTCAGAGCAGAGTTTGGAAACAGGATATAATCCAGACAATATATAATGATTAATTCTTATCCTAAATTAAATAAAAAACACATAAAATTGTTTAATAACTTTAATATCTACACATTTGTAAAATAAACATTAAATAAATTTTTTTATTAGTCTTTGTCTGTCCCCCGTCTGCCTTTGCCTCTCTTGCCTTTTCCTTTCTTTTCCCGCACTTTTAACCTTTCCTTTTTCAATTGCATTGATTTTTTCTTCTGCTTTTGCCTCTCCATTTTATTCTTCATTTGAAAAACTTTGCTTTTCTTAACATTCTTCGTGGCTTGCTTCTTTAACATTTTTCTAACATCCTTTTCAGATTCAAACTTTTTGACAACTTGTTGTTTCTTTTTACTAAGTACTGGTTTTCTCTTTAATTCCATTCCTGGAATTTCATCGTCTGATTTTGTTTCATCTTCAGATTCATTAACGTCGTCATCTGATTCTGTGTACCTGGGCTGATTGGCACCTATCCAATTATTCTGGTTGGCTATGTCATTTGTTGAGAGCTCTAATACTTTTACTGTAACGTCATCATCTTCATATTTTTCACTCAGTAGATCTTCTAACTCTGGAATTGGTTTATGAGATTGAACTAGCTTTTTGTAAGATTCTTTCGCCTCTGCTTTGATCCGTTTTCTTTCCTCTTTAAGGTCTTTTTCAAATTTCTCTTTTGCTTCCTTTTTACGCTGTAATTTTCTTTTGTGGAAACCAGTTAAAAATTCCCTAAAATAAAAAAGAACAATAAATAAATATATGGTGCTGGTGTAAACATTTTAACAAAAAATAAAAAGAAACAGGAGAACTAGATGGACAAATCTCACAGGCTTTATATTAAAAACAAAGTAGTTATTCAGTTTATTCACAAAAGACAATTTTTTGCCAAAGACATTTCGCTAATGATCTCTTTTATTGATTCTACTAATAGAAACAACATTTGGAAGCATTCATGTTTTGTATATACATTTACCGCTCCAGCTTTGTACTATTATTAATTAATTTATGACGGTTCCCTAGAACTTATTCAGGTATTTTCTAATTTTTTTATTATTATTAAATAAGATATCTTTCTAAATTGTTTAGATATCATTTTGTAATTTTTTGAATTCAACATATTGCCTTTATCCCTTCTCTGTAACTATCAACTCTACAAGTTTGATAACATACTAAAATGTAGCCCGATTCTGACACATTGTAATTCTACAACATATGATGTTATACTAAAATGCTTTTGTTTTCTCACACCAAAAATATTTTATTAGAATATTTTGGGTAAAATTTATTTTGATATATGTGGACGGTGGACGGAGCAAACGAGATTTGCTCGGAGTGGATGAGAGAAATCCAATGGTCCCCAAAGCGGAAGAATTGAGTTAAGGGAAGATTAGTCTCTATAGTCCTGGAAAACAACTAGTCTAAAGGAAGAAAACCTTGATTACAAATTACCCGGTCCTCCAAGTAAAGGGTTAAGACGTCAGGCCAGTTCCCTGTCACTTATAAAAATTAGAAAAATACCAAAAAGCCAAAAGATTGCATCGGAATCTTGGACGGATTAAATAATAAACGACTTCGACGACGGAAAAGGATTATGAACATTGGCACCTGGAATGTGCAGAGTATCAGCGGAAAGATGGAAGAAATAACTGAATAAAGTAAAAAACTAGATATGGATATAGTTGTCTTATATATGTCTAATCCATATCTTAATAACTAGATATGGATATATTCTTGTAAAGAAGAAAGGAATAGGTATAGAAAAAGTAAACAATTATGTACATATATTCAGTGGAGTTTCAAAACACGAGAGAGCGAAAAGAGGAGTATCTGTTCTAATACACAAAAACATAAACATAAAATTACTGACTTTGAAGCAATAGACGAAAATATAATAAGAGTAAACATAACGATGAAAGAAACACCTATTACGATACTTGGGATTTATGCAATCAGTGATGATGAACCTTACACAAACAAAGATGAGTTCTTTGCGAAAGTTAACGACGAAATTACAAAAATTGGAAATAGAAGAGAATTGGTAGTTATGGGAGACCTGAACAGTAGAGCAGGTCGTAAAGTAGATAATAAGGTGGTAGGTCCCTACGGAGAAATAAACCAAAATGATAATGATGCGAGGCTAATTGAAATATGTGAAAACCATCAATTAAAAATAACCAATGAATTTTTTAAACATAGAGATGTGCACAAGTATACCTGGACTCAAACTACAAGAAATCTAAAATCAATTATAGACTATGTCATCATAAAACAAAATACTAATATGCAAGTACAGGACACAGGAACACACAGAGGAATAACATGTGGTTCAGATCATTATGTTGTAAAATCAAAAGTAACCTGTCCATTTAGCTATAAAATAACACATAAACAAACAAATTGTTAACCCCAACAAGAAGAAACTTTGGAAAAAAGAAGTTATAATTTGGATAGTTTGACCCAAGAGAGTACAAGAATACTATATCAACAAAGACCTGATGGCAAAGGCAAACTAATGAATATAACCAAAACATCAACAGTAGAGGAGGTATATAAAAACATAGTCCTTAGCGTTAAAAAAGGTGCAGAAGAAGCACTAGGCTTTAACACTCAAAGAAAAAAGAAGAATGTACTAAATATATGAATACTGGTCCAAGCATTTTAAAAGCAGAAGTAGACATCTACAAAGCAAAAATGAGACCCAGGCCTCTCTGACCAAATTCCATCCAACTTTTTTAAAAACTCCAAATTATAAATGACCAGAACATCTCAGAGCTAAATAACATTTATAATTTCATATTTACAAAACTGGAATAATTCCACAGATATGACGTGAGCCTACATTTATCCCACTTCCATGGAAATCTGATATATCATCATGTAAAGAGTCTCATAAGTCACTCTCCCAAACTTCTGCTTGTATCATCTCATTCAATCATTTTCAGTAGAATTAAAAAGAAAATGCAAAGAAACAATGGAAAATAAATGTTAATGTTAACATTATTCCAAAGATCCTAGAAAGTACAGAAACTAATTTATAGCTGCTTAAGAGATTTTGAAGGCATTCAATAGGCCCCATCAGGATAGACCATTTGAATATCTAGAGATAATGTGAATAGACCATAGATAATTAAGGCTTGTAGAACATTTATATTGAAAACAAAAAGCTTCAATTCTGATAGATGATAATGAGAATAAGAAGAGTCACAAGGTTGTGTGTTATCATCAAGATACACTAGGAAATAATATTTAATGAAGCCTTAAAATGAGATTCAAGAGTATTAGAGGAGACATTGTTAATAATACCAGATATGTGGACAATGCAGCAATATACTGAGTCACTAGAGAATGCTTTAAAAAAAGGAAAACTAGCTATTATAGAAGTAATAATTCATGCTCTGCAATATTATTCAGATTTGCTTGTTTGTCTTCACTGTATTCATTTCCACAAGTTTTATACATAAAATTATTGCATAGTAAAATTAATTTATTGTAAAATATGTATAAAAACATTCTTTTCTTTTTAAATTAATTTGAAGTTGGAATTTTATCTTCAAACGTGTAGGAAAAACCAAAGTTAATGTTAAGCGGTATAACCTTCATCTACATACATTATGTCCACGTTTCATTAGCATTCAGTGATTTGAATATTTTGTAAATAATTTCTAAAAAACTGGGTTACAAGTAGTTAAAAGACAACGTGCAAAAGTAAGGTTATAATTTAATGACGTATACAATAAAACTGCTTTGACTTACTTTCTTTTATTTTCATCGAAAACTAAGTGGATTTTATTTTGACGATTTTTGGGTTTTCTTGAAATGCCCTTAGAATTTTTTGATCTCATGTTTACCTTTATGTTTGACGACTACTCTAAACTTGACATATGTCACATTCATGACAACAAATATTATATAGATAATTTAAAGTTTGTAAGTGATTTTCAAGTTATATCTAAAAATGAAAAATTATTTACGTTTAAATGAAATTAATTTGAATTAATTTTTTGTTATATACGTTTGTAACAGAAATATAATTTCGATTTTTAAATAAATAATTATTTTGAAAATGGAATTGAGCTTGACTAGAAATGTGAGTATTTTGACCAATCAGAAACAACTAGTGGAGTTAAGTCGCGCTCATCGACATCATGGCTGTCAGTATAAATTTGTTCGCTGAACGATGAACTGCCCCTCTGTAAAATCTGCATATGAAAACATATTTTTGTTATTTTTTTCATTAAAAAGAGAGTTAATTTGTGCTAAAAAGTATGCTATGATGTCCAAAATTAAGTGACCTTTTAGTGTAGGCGGTAAGTTTCAAAATTTACAGCTGCTAACGGGAATATATCGCTAAAATTATGTGAAAAAATGAACTTATTTGTATCATATGAAAGGAACTGGAAATAAAAATAAACTGTTTAATAATTTCATCCGGTGATTAAATTTGTAATACAATATGGGAAGTAGAGGTTTCTATTTTTGGGTTTTAAAGGGCTCTTTTTATGCTGGGGATTTGAACAAAAATACTAAAACCAGCTGATTGCCAAAGCCATGAATTTAGATTATAAAAAAAATAGGCCAAGTCTGTTATGCTGTTTTTATATATGTAACGTATTAACCATATGGATATTAATTCTCGTAATATTTTTATAGTATATATTAAATAATGAAAATTAACGAGAAAATTGTTTTGTTTCAGAATTTAGGGATTTTATACAAAGACTTGAATTATAAACAATGACTTCTAGCAGGTGAGTAAATTGTCAGTAGCTTATTTTTTATGCTAATTTGAAAGGAAGTATTCATACCTCAGTGCAATACATCGCTGAAATTTTAATCTGATGATTTATGAATGAAACAATATGTACTCTTCATAATAAAATATTCTAAATACAATTTTGGTTTGCAAAAGACCTTTCTTTAACTTCAATTATATTTACTGAGACTTTAATAAATATTTTTTACATAATTTGGAACATACATCATGCTGAATGATTGTTTTTTATCATTGAAAATATTTTATTTATTTATATCATATTTCTTTGGAAATTAAAGTTGTTTTTATAAGCTAGAAGTCATATAATCTGATTTTAATAAAATTTAGTTTTAGATTAGTCCATATTTTCATATATCTTCACAATGATTATGTTTTCTCTATTATTACCTTATATAGTTTCAGGGCTTACAGTTATTAGTTTTATTTTGCTTGCATGTTTTTTGGTCTTTATGATATTTTTTATTCATCAAGTTTCTACGATTGAATGTTTGATTCTGACATTTCAGACTTCTCGTTTTTTCCCTCTATTATATATTTGGTTTTTCGTATACATTTATTTTTAATCTGCTTTAATACCTCACATTAGCAGATAAAAGGGAAGTGTGCAACATTATCAAATGAACCATTAAGACACAAACCAGAAGTATATTTCCAAATCTGCCTGTGTTTTGGTTCAATCTACCCTTTTTTTGTCTCTCTTATCTTCTTTTGTATTTTTTGGTGTATTTGACTGTTTTCTGTTTATCTATGTTTTTGCTCTTTCTTCATTCATTTAGCACATTGAGAATTACATCCTGTCTTTCATTTTTCCATGACGTGATTGTTTCAATTTTAACAAAGTCATATGGTTTTTGACAAATTGAAGTCACCTGATTATAAATGCTTTCGAGGAAGATCCAATCTTGACAAAAAATTGCTCAATATCACCAAAAGAGTAAGACGAGTGCTAGTTATATCCCCTTCATGTGATACTGTATTGGTGTTAGAATTTTGGTTGTGACAGTATATTTTATGATCAGTTAACACCAGTTTAGTGTTCCCAAATCAATATATAGAGAAACCACTAATACATAGTTTCCATGGATATGGTGGCTAAGAGGAGAAACTGTTTTATTTTTAGCCAAAACGGCCATTCTTGATAAACAGTTTTGTTTGTTCTAAAACCCTATAAAATGAAATGAAATTTCACTGTTTCAAAACATGCTTAAATTTATGTAAATCCTGAAATAAGTTACAGAAGAATCTGATGGATCCAGTATGTCTGTCAAATTTGAACAAAGTAAAGGATCTAAAGATAGATTAGGTGAATAGTGATTAAAAATCTGTAGAAAATCCATGTAGAAAAAATAGATATATGCCTCATTTCTGAAACCCATTTTAGAAACGAGTCATATATTAAGATTTATGGGTTATAAAACTTGCCTTGACACCCTGACAATTCTAACATTCCAAGTTGTATTCCCAAAGTTTTTGGATAGCCTTGTCTGTGACTATTTGTCAGCAACTTTTAAAAGGCTGTTTTATCCACCAGCAATTTGGATTTCTCTCTAGCCGCTCCACTGAACTTAATTTATTGACATTTACTGATTTCCTTATAGAATCTCTTGAAGATAGCTTCCAGGTTCATGCTGTATACACAGACTTTACAGAGGTGTTTGACCGGGTAAATCACAAGATTTTAATCAATAAGTTGAGGAGTCTGGGTATCTAGGGTGAACTTTTGGAATGGTTGTTATCCTACCTGACTGAAAGAATACAAATAGTATGTGTTCAGGGATTTCAATCGTTTGAGATTAAGGTACTTTCAGGAGTACCACTACAACTACAGTCATCATACAGAGTCAACTACATTGTTATTTAGACCTGCTGTCAATAAAGTCACGATAGCCAATATGGTAGCCAACATGATATCCAACAATCGATAACGGTCATGGAACTAGAAGAAGACGAAGGAGTACCACAAGGATCACACCTAGGACCTCTTCTATTCAATAACTGTGTTAATAATACTGCCTCCTGTTTCCTCTTTGCTTCTTTCCTAATGTTTGCTGACGATTTAAAACTATATTTGAAAAGTGAGAATGATGGTGACTATCAAAACTGCAGTCTGATTTGAATCTGTTGAACTATTGGTGTGACAGCAACAGAATGGAACTTAATGTTAAAAAGTGTCATTTAATGGTTTGTTGTCGGAATAAAACTACTACAAATCATATCTATACTATTAATAGCTGCTCTTTAGACTGTATCTCAGATAAAAGACCTAGGTACTTTCCCACATGTTCCAAAATTCCCATGAACATTTTATCTTATAAAAAATAGTTTGATGTTGTGAATGATTAACTGTAAAGTATGTGTTGTGATCAAAATATGTCGAATAAAAGGAAATTAGCTTTTATGCAAGTCAACATTTTGGAAAATAAAATCTTAAGATCCAATATTGCAAGTTTTTATTGAGAATAGAATAGAATAGAAATATGCTTTATTCTCACTGAAAATTATTGAACAATTTTATGGACAAAGCTAAAAAATAAATCAGTCAAATAATACAAAAAGTATAAAAGAAAAACAAATATAATAAAAAAAAACAGAACAATACAATTTTAAATTAGTAAAATTATTGTATAACTTACATAATTTGTACAGACAACAACAAATGAAACAAATTGTAGCCACTCTTGAGACACCCAAATGTAATTATAAACAATACTAATTTTGTTTCTTTGGTGTACATTAAGAAACTCGTCAACTGAATAATATGGTCTTTCAGACAGATAGATTTTTGTCATCTTACAAACCTTAATGAAAGATGTTGCAGATTTAATTTCTCTTGGAAGATGATTATAAAGTTTTTTGCACTATATAGAATAGAATTATTTACTAGCTAAGTGGACGGGATTGGCAAATAAACGTTACAATCCGAATTTCTAATGGAGTAGCCATGATCAGGTCTATCGGGAAAAATATTTAGATGCTTTCGAATCAAACAAACCGTTTCCAATATAAATAAAGAGGGAAGCGTCAAAATTCCGTGATTTTTGAAGTAGGTCTTGCAATGAGTTGTTTGTTTGAGACCAAATAGATAACGAATTGCTCTTTTTTGCAACTTAAAAATAGTATCAAATTGGGCCGCTGTACTAGAACCTTAAAATGTAAGCCCATATCGAAGATGGGACTCGAAAAATGAGAAATATGCCATTTTGACAGAAGATAAATTTAGTTTCTTCGAAACAGATCTTATAGCAAAGCAAGCTGAGGCTAGTTTCTTCCTTAACGAGTCAGTATGCAAGGACCATTTGAGATAAGTGTCAATGAGAATACCTAGAAATTTCACGGAATTTACGATATTGATTTGGCTCTCATTCAAAAGCAAGGGTTGCATGACTCCTTTATAAGATAATGCTACAGTCTTATCCACGTTAAAGCTAAGTAAGTTGGAGTCTGACCAAGCCTTGATTATAAGTAAATCAGCGGTTATAATTGAATGAAGGGTTGAAATATCAGAGCTGCTCCAAGTAATACTGGTATCATCAGCAAATAGAAAAACTTTCCCTTTAATTTTCAAGTAAGTGATGTCATTAATGAAAAGTAAAAAAAGAATGGGATCTAATACTGAACCTTGCGGTACTCCACACTCAATATCTTTACAACTAGAGTCGGTGTCATTTATTCTAACCAATTGTTTCCTACCTACCAAGTAAGTTTTGAACCAGTTCAAAGACACACCCCGAATTCCATAGAAAGTTAATTTTTTTAATAGAATGTCGTGATTTACGCAGTCAAAGGCTTTCTAATAGTCGCAGAAAATGGTGGCGGAGGAGAGGTTACTGTTTAGTGATAGATATACATCATGTAACACAGAAAATATGGCATCACTAGTGCATTTATTAGACAAAAAGCCGAACTGATTTTGCGATAAAATATTATATTTTAGGAGAAAGGGCATAAGTCGAACTTTTATAAGTCTTTCAATAATTTTTGATAGTGCTGGTAACAAGGCAATAGGTCTATAGTTGCAGGCATCAGATTTTTCTCCACCTTTATGAAGAGGAATGACGATGGCAGTCTTTAGGCAGTTAGGGAATGTACCTTTTTCAAGGGAATCATTTACTAGCGAGACCATGACCTCCAAAACATTGTGCGGTAGATTTGAGAAAATTTTAATAGATACTACAGGACGATGTGCTTTTTATACTACGAATTGTTGAAATGAGTTCCGTCTTATCAACTGGTCTTAAAAAGAAGGTATCAGCAATGTTTTTTGAATTAGAGAGATAGGAAACTGGATCTTGTTGTGGCGAAATAGTTGAGGTTATATTTTTACTCACATTAACAAAGTAATCATTTAGATTTTCGGGGTTAGGAAAAGAAAAGGTTTGATTCGCTGTACTGGTTTTATTTCGAAAATCGTTTATTATTGACCAAGTTTCTTTTGAAATATTTTTGGAGCTTGTTAAGCGATTATGAAAGTAGGATTTTTTGGCTACTTTGAGTAGTTTTATATAGCATTTTCTGTACTTATTGATATAATCAGAGATGGGGATACTGTCATTAAATTTTTTAATATATAGCAGAGAACACATATTTTTCGCAGATATGCGAATCCCTTTGGTAATCCAAGGTTTGTTATGTTTTGGCCTGATGTTTAATAGAGGAAATGCTTTATTAAAAATAGATACAAGTCTATTTAGAAAATCACTAACATTACAGTCAATGTCCCCAGAAGAAAAACTCCAGTCAGAAGTCAAGCATGAATTATAGAATTTACGAAAGTTTTGAGTGGAAAAAATCCTACCTAATCGTCGGGTTTTTGAGTGAGGTGTTTGTAAACTGCTAAACTTGGTATATACCGCTTCATGACCAGAAAGCCCCCCACTAATAACTGTAGAATGGACGTCAGCGGGTGGAAAAATCGGAAACCACATAATCAATTGTCGAGGATGATGTTTTTGAGATTCTTGTTGGAGAATTAAC